AGCCAGAATGTTCCTTGGAAGCAAGAATGGCCAGACTTCGTCTCACCTATTTTGGTCATGTTGTCAGAAGGGACCATTCCCTGGAGAAGGATGTCATGGTTGGTAGGGTGGAGGGTCGACGAAAGAGGGGGAGGCCTTCAACGAGATGGATTGACACGGTGGCTGCGACGATGGGCTCAAATATAGCAGGGATTGTGGGGCTGGCGTGGGATCGGGCAGTGTTTCATTCTGCTGTGCACGGGGTCAGTATGAGTAGGAAACGACTCGACGGCACTTAATAACAACAACAAAAGTGACAACAGTATGTTTCCCATGAGCAAAGAAACTGCTAGGAAGATGCTGAGGATTCATCCTACTCTTCCATCCTTAACCAAGGACTGAATGAACCAAGACAGCTGAGCAGTGTGGCCTTCAGATACCATGGCTCAGGGCAGGTCCCGAGGTAGCACCTTCTCCTTTCCTCCCTCTTGGTCTAGAAACCGACCTAATGAGCACAGTGGAGTCATGGGGGCAGCTGTGGCAGACTTGCTGGGAGGCACGTTCCTCAGTGAGGCTAATCTGTCTACCACAGGCTCCTCTGTCCCTGGCACACCACAGCTGGGCAGCTGGAAGAAAAGGCCAGACAGCTTCACTTCAGAAGACGAGCACTGCACAACCTGCCTCTGGATTTCTGAAAAATGCCCAAAGGGTCTCAATGGAAAAGCATCCACATGGCCAGCCACAGACGGCTCTAGCCAGACTCAACCCCACAGCTCTGTTCTCCAGAGCAGCCAAGAGACTGGGAAAGGGTAGAAGGACTGAGACAGGTGTCCACAAGCTAGCCATACAACCTCCCCTCCCAAAGCTGTGTCCTCATGCAGGCCTCCCTTTGCCTCTGGGACCAGGCAGCACACCCCGTTGCTAGATGAAGAAGCATTTTATTGACACAATGAGGCAGGGGTCTTCATTTAGCAGCTCAGCTGCAGTTCTTCCTCCTCCCCAACGTCCTTTTTCATAGGTATGTAAACAGGACCCTTTTATCATCAGTAGATTACCAGAGTCTCTGGGGGCAGAGAGTATCAAAGCTCCCCGTGGTCAGGCCCAATCCCCACAGCCCCAGGGGCTGAGGCTTCAGTCCTGGTCACTGGCTTTCAGACTTGGTTTGTACTTCCCCCTCATCTCCTTGGGTAATGGCACCAGGGCCGGGCAAGGCACCTGCCCCTCCACTTCACATATACACTCCCGTAGGCAGTACTTTCGGGGGCCAAAGTGGGCAGGGTGAGAGAGCTGCTTTCTCTCCTGCTCCTCTTTCTTCAGGGTTTCTCTGCCAAAGAGCACAGGTAACAACAAATTATGAGCATTACTGCTGAGCCATGAAGAGTAGGAATGTCAGCCCACCAAAGCCCCACAAGCCAGGAAGACATGGGTCTTATTTGCCTTTTAACTGCTCCTCCCTCCCCAAACCCACTGGCCCCCCAGGGAGGCCTTGGCAGGAAGGCCCCCTGCAGGACAGCTGTCAGAGGCCCCAGGGAAAATGGTCACTTGGAAAGCACGTCCCAGATGATGTTCTCTCATCCAAAATCACAGGCCCAAGCACAACACAGTAGGGGTGGGGCCTACATACCCGACTAGGAGGCAAAGTCACAGATCAGGAGCTCTGGAAATGCCTTGTGTGGCCTCTCAAAGAAGAGTTCTTGGCTTCTCCCCTCCCCTTCTGTCTCCTTTCATTCATGGAAAGAAAAGGGACATGCCTCCAGGGACCCAGAGGTTAGACATCTGCCAGCTCCAAGGTGAGAGGCCCAAGGAGAACAGTGCCAACAGCATACAGTATAAGTGTTTTGGCTGCACTGCTGGGGGAGCTAAAGCTTGCACAGGTGCAATGACCTGAAGTGACATAACTGGCAAACAGCACAGCCAGAGCTGAACCAACATTGCAGCCCACACTCCGAACCTCAGTGCCTCCCAGTGCTCTTGCCCGCCTCCCAGAACACCTCTTTGTTCTCTCTCAAAGTCTCTGGGCTAAAATGCTTGTTCCTCTCCAGGTCAACCCCAGTAACTCACTCATTCTTCCCCAGGATTTTTTTGATGTGCTCCATGATTTCCTTATTGCTCTTGGTCTCCACATCCACCAGGACCTGCTCCCCAGAATCTGGAAACATGAAGGTCGGGTGAGAAGAAATGCTGAGATTTAGCAGCATGCTCATCCTCAAAAAGTTGGGATTTGCTCTTAGTGACGGAGACATTTTAACAAAAAAATATGTATATATGTTTGATCACCTAACCTATACACTACCCCTTATGTTTCCATTTCTCCAGACTTATGCAGAAACTTTCAATATGCACAAAAGCATACATTTAATTGAAATTCGGTGTACATGGACAATAACCCTTAACACTGTTAAGATGATAGTTCTACCCACAGAGATCTATAGATTCAGTATGATCCCTATCAAAATCCCAGCAATCGTTTTTATAGAAGCTGAGAAGTTGATCCTAAAATCCATATAGAAAAGTAAAGGACTCAGAATAGCCAAAGTAATTTTGAAAGAAAAGAAAATGGGAGGACCCCCAAATTACTAAAAAGCTAAAAAAAGAAAAAAGAAATGGCAGGATGTTCCCTTTCTAATTTCAAAATTACACAAAGCTATAGTAACCAAAGGGAGCTCTGGTGGTGTAATGTCTAAGACATGTGACTGCTAACCAGAAGGCTAGCAGTTCAAGCCCACTAACCACTCCTTGGAAGGAAGGTTGGGCAATCTACCTCCACAGTGATACCACCTTGGAAACCCAAGGAGGGACCTCTATGAGTCAGATCTGACAACGCCAGTGAGTTTGGTTTTGGTTTATAGCAACCAAGACAGTGTGGTACCGGCATAAACATAGCCACACAGAGCAGTGAAACAGAAATAAGTCCAGAAACAAAGCACTGTATCTACCGTCAAATGATTTTTGACCCAAGTACCAAAGCAACTCAATGGGGAAAGGACAGTCTTTTCAACAAATGGTGCAGGGACAACTACACTTCCACATATAAATGAAGTTAGACCTTTACCTCACAACATGCAAAAATAAAGTTAATTCAAATGGATCAGGGTCCTAAATGCAGAAGCTAGAACTATAAAACTTTCAGAAGATTATTTCAGAAGCACAGAAAATCTTCACAGCCTTAAATCTTTTAGATATGACATTAAAAGCACAATCCATAAAAATGAAAAACTGATCATTGAACTTAATCAAAATTTAAAACTTTTGCACTTTAGAAGACACTATAAGCCACAGAGTAGGAGAAAATATTCATGATATGCATATTTAATAAAGGACTTGTAACCAAAATATATAAAGAATAAATAATCTAACCAAAAAATTGGAAAATATTTAGGTACTTCACCCAAAAATAAATAAACAAATATAGACGTACCTCATTTTATTGTGCTGCACAGATACTGCATTTTTTTTTTTACAAATTGAAGATTTGTGGCAACCTTGGGTTGAGGAAGTGTATCTACCGGCACTAATTTTCCAACAGCAAGTGCTCACTTCATGTCTGTGTGTCACATTTTGGTAATTCTCACACTATTTCAATACTTCTTCATATTGCTGTTGCACAGTTAATAGACAACAATACAGTATAAACATAACATGTATATGCACTGGGAAGCCCAAAAATTTGTGTGACCCACTTTATGGTGATATTCTGCTTATTTTGGTGGTCTGGAACCAAGCCCACAATGTCTCCAAGGTATGCCTGTAAAGAAATACAATGGCTAACAATAAGCACATGAAAAAACACATAGCATCGTTGCTGTTAGTTGCCGTAGAGTGCTTCTGCCTCACACTGTGTGTTATGTGCTGTTGTGTCCAACTCATAGTGACCCTATGCACAACACAACGAAACACTGCCCAGTTGTGCACCAGCCACTACTGGAGCCCATCGTTGCAGCCACTGTGTCAATCCATCTCTTTGAGGGCCTTCCACTTTTTTGTTGATCCTCCACTTTACTACGTGTGATAACCTTCTCCGGGGAATTGTCTCTTCTGACAGTATGACCAAAATAGGTGAGATGAAGGCGGGCCATTCTCACTTCCAAGAAGCATTCCGGCTGCCCTTCTTCCAGAACAGATTTGTTAGTTCTTCTGGCAGTCCATGGTATATTCAGTATTCGTTGCCGACACAATTCAAAGGCATCAGCTCTTCTCTGGTTTTCTTTAGTCGTTGTCCAGCTTCCACGTGCATATGAGGTGATGGAAAATACCATACCTTTGGTCAGGCACACCTCAGTGTTCAAAGGGACATTTTTGCTTGTTGTTGTTGTTGTTATGTACCGTTGAGTTGGACCTGATTAATAGTGACCCCTCCTTGGGTTTCCAAGGCAGTATCGCTACGGAAGTAAGATTGCCCAACCTTCCTTCCGAGGAGTGGCTGGTGGATTTGAACCACCAGCTTTCTGGTTAGCAGTCAAGTACCTTAGGCACTATGCCATCAGAGCCCCTTTTGCTTCTAACACATTAAAAAGGTCTTTTGCAGCAGATTTGCCCAGTGCAATACAACATCTGATTTCTTGACTGCTGCTAACATAGGTATTGATTGTGGATCCAAGCAAAATGAAATCCCTGACAACTTCACTCCTTGGAGAGAGCAATCATGGGAGAATACAATGGCTGTATGCACAGGGAGACAGCTCGGGGAGCAGAAGTACACAAGAGGGATGGACACAGGGAAGAGGTAACAATGAGGAGGAAGTGGGAGCAGTTGCATTGTGGCAAATTGCAGTCAATGTCATGAGACAAAGTATATGTGAACTGCTGTATAGAAGATGAATTTGCTCTGTAAACTTTCACCCAAATCACAATAAAAATTTTAAAAAGAGAGAGAGAGGGTGCTTTGCGAGCACAGGGAGGGAACCTGAGCATTCAGCAAAGGCTTCCCAAAGAAGTACTGTTCATGCTAAGTCTTAAAGGATTAAAATAAATAAATAGGCATAAGGAATAAGGGAAGTAGTATAAAAGCTCATGCTTCAGATCAGCTTGACTACTGCAGTAGGAAGGATGGAGGGGAGGAAAGGAAACGGTCTTTCCAGGGATGTCTCCAATGTCTGAGACAGCCCTGACCACTGGAAGAGAGGCCCCACTCACTCACCTAAATAGAACCGCAGGAACGGTGATGGTGTCATGTTCTTAAACATCATGATCTGCACCCAAGGGTTTTTATACTGGATCTGAGGTATGTTGAAAAACACAAATTTTCTGCAAAGGGAAGAAATTAAACCTGTAAGTCAGTGTTTTTAACCTGAAATTTTGTGCACATGTGTTTTTTTCTGGGCAGAAAGTCCAAAACTTTCATCACATTCTCAAAGAGGTCCCTGATCCCTAAAAGGTCAAGGAAAACAGCTCTAAGGAATCCATGACTGTATTCTCTGGATAGTGCTGGGTTTGTCATTTGAGGGAAAAGAAATCTGTATTATCCTTACCTCATGCTGAATACTAACCCAAAACCCACCAAAGCAAAAGTATAAATATAAAAGTGAACCCATGCAATGTGCTATACTTTGAGTTGGTCACGGGCAGTTACATAGGTGTCTCCACAGGGGAAGTTCATCACACTGCATACTTAAATGCATTCAAGAAATGAAACCATGAAAATAAGCCTGGGGGGATATTCTTAAAATATAGGAGTGGGGAAAGTCTTTAAACTCCGAAGTTTTAAAAGAGATAAATTTGACTACATTAAAACCTTTGAGTGGCAGAATTTACCAAAACCAAAATCAACATTTGCCAACCAAAAGTGGAATGTTTACAGAACCTAAAACTGACATACAGTTTTACACATCATTACTACACTTACGGGAGCTCTGGTAGCATAGTGCCTAAGGCACTTGACTGCTAACCAGAAGGCTGGAGGTTCAAACCCACCAGCCACTCCTCGGAAGGAAGGTTGGACAATCTACTTCCGTAGTGATACCACCTCAGAAACCCAAGGAGGGGTTGCTATGAGTTGCGTCCGACTCGACGGCACATAACAACAACAACAACTATGACTTACAACGCAACAACAACAAAAGGCAACAGCCACTAATAGGCAGTTCATAGAAAAGAAACACAAATGGCCTATAATTGTAAGAGGAGATTCTCAATACACTCCCAATAAAGTCAGGTAAATTAAAATAATTCCTTTTTACCTAATAAAGGGCTAAAGATTAAAAGAAAAGTTATAGAAGTAGGAAAACATTTCCTTAAGAATATAAATTCATTTAACCCCTTTGGAAGTCAATTTGGAACTAGCAAAACTTTAGAAGCACAGATTTGTTGTTTGTTTTATTGTGGCAAAAATATATATAACATAAAATTTACCATCGTAACCTTTTTTAAGCGATGTTAATTACATTCATCATGTTGTGCAAGGAGCTCTGATGGCACAGTGGTTAAAGCACTATGTTGTTGTTGTTGTTGTTGTTTGCCGTCGAGTCGGCCCCGACTCATAGCGACCCCTCCTTGGGTTTCCGAGGCAGTATCACTACGGAAGTAGGATTGCCCAACCTTCCTTCCGAGGAGTGGCTGGTGGGTTTGAACCGCCAGCCGTCTGGTTAGCAGGCAAGTGCCTTAGGCACTATGCTACCAGAGCACTATGGCTGCTAACAAAAAGGCCAGCAGTTCAAACCCACCAGCCACTCCATGGGAGAAAGATGAGACAGTCTGCTTCTGTAAAGATTTACTGCCTGGGAAATCCTATTAAAAAAAACAACCAAACTTACTGCCATTGAGTCAATTCCAACTCATAGCAACCCCCACTGGGTTTCCAAGGTAGTAAATCTTTATGGAAGTAGATTGCCCTGTCTTCCTTCTGCAGAGCAGGTGCTGGGTTTGAACCACCAACCTTCTGGTTAGCAGTCAAATGCCTTAGCCACTGTGCCACCAGAGCTCCTTGGGAAACCCTACATAGTAGTTCTAATTTGTCCTAAAATGGTCATTTTGAGTTGGAATCAACTTGATGGCAATGGGTTTTGTGTTCTGGTTTTTGTTTGGGGGGGTGGGGATTACTATGTAAGGTCTGTAGCTGGCAAACAGTTTGCATGTGGTTACTAACTGAAAGGCTGGGGGTTTAAACCCACCCAGCAGCAGCACAGAAGGCTTGGCATCTGCTTCCATAATGATCACAGCCAAGAAAATCCTATGGAGAAGTTCTACTCTGTAACACATGGGGTCACCATGAGTCAAAATCAACAGTACAGCAACAGGCTATTATGTAGCTGATAAAAAAAAAATGAGGTTAAGATCTATAAAGGGATGACAGGAATGATCTTCCTGGCTCTCTGACACGTGAAAGTCACTTTGGAGAAGCCTGCAGAAGATCCTCCAAAGAAGCAAGTACTGATCCTCCCAGCAGCTGAAAGTGAGATATGGGCGAGGCCTCTGCAACATGCTGGACAAAGAAAATAAACAATAGTTGCACTGAGGAGACCTAAGTTAGAAAAGCCCAGAACTCACACTTCAAATGGCAGGTATGCAGTGAACTTATTGCTCACACAGCAGCACTTTGTAAGTGTGAGTAATAGCAGGTGTTATTAATAATGATTGCTAAACCAAGAGCCAGAGAAGGATGCCCTCTATTACTACTTCTGTTCAACACTGTACTGGAAGTCCTAGCCAGGGCAATAAGGCAAGAAAGGGAAATCAAAGGTATTCAAATCAGTAAGGAAGAAGTCAAACCCTCCCTATTTGCTGATGATATGATCCTATACCTAGAAAACCCAAGAGACTCTGAAAAGAAACTACTGAAACTAATTGAGAGATTTAGCATTGTGGCAAGATCCAAGACCAACATATAAATATCAGTTGGATTCTTCCACAACAGCAAAGAGATTGCTGAAAAGGAAATAAGGAAATTAATACCATTTACAATACCAAAAACCAAAACCAAACGCCACTGAGTTGGATCCAACTCATAGTGACCCCTCCTTGGGTTTCCGAGGTGGCATCACTATGGAAGTAGATTGCCCAAACTTCCTTCCGAGGTGTGGCTGGTAGGTTTGACCCGCCAGCCTTCTGGTTAGCAGTCAAATGTCAAATGCCTTATGCACTTTGCCTCCAGAGTTCAGCTACCAAAAAAATTAAATACTTGGGAATAAATCTCACTAGGGATACGAAACACCCAAACAAAGAAAACTACAAAAGACTACTTCAAGAAACCATAAGAGATATACATAAATGGAAGAACATAACCATGTTCATGGGTAGGAAGATTGAACATTGTGAAAATGTCAATACTAACCAAAGCAATCTATACATTCAATGCAATCCCAATCCAGATCCCATCAACATTCTTTAAGGATATGGAAAAACCAATCACTAATTTTATATGGAAAGGAAAGAGACCTCAGGTAAGCACACCACTATTGAAGAAGAAAAAGTAGGAGGCCTCACACTCCCAGATCTCAAAACCTGCTATACAGCCACAATAGTCCAAACAGCCTGGTATTGGTACAATAACAGACACACACAACAGAACTGAGAGCCCAGGAATAAATCCATTGACCTATGGTCAGCCAATCTTTGACAAAGGCTGAAATCCGTTAAACGGAGAAGAGATGGTCTCTTTAACAAATGTTGTTATGTGCCATGGAGTTGGACCCGACTCACAGCAACCCCTCCTTGGATTTCCGAGGCGGTATCACTACAGAGGGAGCTCTGGTAGCATAGTGCCTAAGGCACTTGACTGCTAACCAGAAGGCTGGCGGTTCAAACCCAATAGCCACTCCTCAGAAAGAAGATGGGGCAATCTACTTCTGTAGTGATACTGCCTCAGAAACCCTAGGAGGGGTCGCTATGAGTCAGGTCTGATTCGACAGCACATAACAACATCACTATGGAAGTAGATTGCCCAACCTTCCTTCCAAGAAGAGGTTGGTGGGTTTGAACTGCCAGCCTCCTGGTTAGCAGTCAAGTGCCTACTGGCAAAACTGGATATTCATTTGCAGAAAAATGAAACTAGATCTGTATCTCACACCATACACAAAACTAACCGCCAGTGGATCAAAGATTTAAATGTGAAACCTAAAACTATAAAGTTCCTCAAGGAAAAAATGGGCAAATTTAGGGGCCCTCAATTATGGCATAAATAGACTGCAAGCATAACCCAAAATGCACAAACAGCAGAAGATAAACTAGATGAATGGGACCTGCTAAAAATTAAATTTTTATGTGCTTCAAAAGATTTCTCCGAAAGAGTAAAAAGAGAATCTACAGATTGGGAAAAAATATTTAGCAACAACATATGTGACAAAGGATTGATCTCTTAAATTATAGAAAACTCCAACGCCTCAACAACAAAAACACAAATAATCCAATTAAAAAATAAGCAGAAGACATAAATAGACACTTCACCAAAGAGGATATTCAGGTGGCCAGCAAATACAGGAAAAAATGTTCATTATCATTAGCCATTAGAGAGATTCAAATTAAAGCAACAGTGAGATACCATCTTGCCCCAGCAGCAACAGCAAAGTTCAACAAGACAGAAAATAACAAATGCTGATTAGGATGTAGAGAGATTGGGACTCTTATACACTGTTGGTGGGACTGTCAAATGATACAACCACTGTGGAAAGCAGTATGGCGATTCCTTAAAAAGCTGGAATTAGAAATACCATTTGATCCAGCAATCCCATTACTAGGCATATATCCTACAGAAGTGAGAGCCAGGACAAGAACAGATACATGCAAACCCATGTTCATCACAATACTACTTACAATAGCAAAAAGATGGACACCTAGGTGCCCATCAACAGAAGAGTGGATAACCAAGCTATGTACATACACACAGTGGAGTACTATGCAACATTAAAGAATAATGAAGAATCCAAAAGTTGGAACTAGAAATACCATTTGACGTGGTTATTCCATTACTAGGTATATATCCTGAAGAAGTGAGAGCCATGACAAGAACAGACATACGCCCACACGTTCATCGCAGCACTATTTACAATAGCCAAAAGATGGAAACAACCTAGGTGTCCAACAACTGAGGAACGGATAACCAAACTACGGTACATACACACAATGGAATACTATGGAATGCTAAAGAATAATGTAGAATCTGCAAAACACCGCATAACGTGGA